AGCCGCATATACATACCAAACAACGCAAAGGATGGAGGCTACTCCATCCGGCAGCAAGGTAACCCGACTTCTTCAGTATCTTTGGATGGTACAAAGCACACTTATTGATGTTTTTGGATGGTACAAATCAGTTACATCTTGTGTCCTCTGAATTATCTGTTGAAACCTTTTGATCGTTAACATCTCTGCTAGACCCCATGTTGTCTAATTTTCTAATAAGTAAAATAACTTCCTTGGATAAATTTACTTTGATCTGACATGAAAAGGTATTGTATCATGATTGGACATTTTTCTATAATTGCAACTTAATTCTTTTAAGAATTTTAGAAATGGATATCCATATTCTAGTCGGGATGGCAATGCTAAGAAAATCATTGAATATTTTAGAAAACATCTTTTATCGAGTCATCATCGGATCTTTATCATTAATCATTTGCTTTATCTTACATTTTTGGTGGCAATATTCTTTGCTCGACCTCTCAGTACTCTTTCCCCAACAAGCCAGACCTAAATGCATGAATACATGTGAATGATGTGAGCTTTACTTTTGTTTGCTGGATGGCATATAATGAACAGCCTCCTCCATTATGTGTTGCTGCTGTAGCTTAAATGATTTCTGCAGTCATCTTTACTCCTTATGTTATTTATAGGAAGAAACATGAGATAATTGTACTTTGGATGACAATGTTGATATATGAGTCCTGAGCAACAAAATGGTTGAACAAATTGCTTCATTTTGTTATAAAAGTTAAGTAGGAATATGCATAGCCTTTTGTGATTCTTGCTTATGTCCAGGTCATATCTATGTCACGGTATATCGCATAAAAAGCTTTCAGCTTTCAAGAGCTAATAGAGAAATGCTACTGACAAGTTGAATGCGATATCAGGTGAATTCCATTTCCTTTTTTTTTCATTCTCCTTGAACCATTAGGTTTGTTTAGGATCATCATGGAATAATCAACACGTGCTCCTTTTTAGTTACTATTGTACTACCTGCGTGTATTGATTTCCTATCTTGAGTTTCATTTGCAGCCACTATGTTCAACCTATACGTATCCGTTATTTACTTAGACTTTGAATCGATTTTTTTCTTAAGCAGGTTTGGTGTATCCTTCTCAGTAACAAAGTACCTTTTAGGATGCACTGGCCTTTACACTCTGACATGCAAGTTACTTGTATATGCAGTGGCTTATTATGTATAATGAGTCATATTTTCTCATAGGATTTTGGTACATGTTTATTGAGTTAAAAAACTTAGTTAAGTGCCACCTGTTTGATTTTTCACAATGTGTACAAGAAAAAATGGAAGATTCATCTTTTGTTGCATAGTCAGTGATGCTTTTCTCCTTTTCTTGGGGGGCTTATTATGGGTTGATTTGTATATGCACCTCAGTCTATGCTTTATGACTTGTGCTTGTACTTGTATTTATACCTGCAGTTTAGCAAAAATAGTATTTTACATCCTTCTAGCTGTAGTTATGATATAGGCTCTGGCAGCTATTATGACAGTAAGTTCAATTATACTATATCTGAACTATTCATGTTGGTAATTCTTACTTTGTCAGGTATTTATGTTAGGGTGGTTAACAGGCAACCCACCCAAAAGTTAGGGGCCAATGGTAGAGACACCACTAGTAAGTATTTTTGGTTCCGAAATTTGCTATTCTGTTTACTTTTTTGCTAAGGCAGTGGACATTTTTTTACATCATCTTCCTGCATTCATCAGCTACAGTTTTCTATTGTATATCTCCTTTTGACCTTGAACATTTCTATGTTCCCGGTTAACAGATTACCTTAAGGAGGGACCTAACAAGATTTCTCTATCGAGAAATGACTCTCGTACTTTCTGTTTGGGTATCAGAATTGCCAAGAGGAGATCTCTAGAACAGGTGGGATTTTTAGTATATAGTCCATTGTTAAGCACTACACTCTCAAGATTCAAGACACATATTTTACTGAGCAATGATATGTGAATCAGCCATGCTTCATGTGTGCCTTTTAAGGAAGTGGATAGGCATCGGCAAACACTTTCAGATGGCTTTTATTGTTCTTAGGCATGTCTTAGACTTTTGATTATCTTCCAAGTGAATTCCATTCCATGCTCGTGTATTGTCATTGAGTTTCAGTACAATCGTAGAAGAAGATAAGTCATGATGGAGTTGTGCATGAAAAATATATGTTCTGGTCGAATTTGAATTGTAAATTAAAAAAAATTTTGGCGGAAAAATGATTTGTAGGGGCGGTTGGTACTGTAGCCGCCCCTACAAATCGATTTGTAAGGGCGGCTGGTGTTCCCAGACCGTCCCTATAAATCGATTTGTAGGGGCGGCTACAATACCAATCGCCCCTACAAATCGATTTGTAGGGGCGATCTGGAAACCGCCCCTACAAATACATGATTTGTAGAGATGGTATGGTAGGGGCGGCTGGCCGAATCGCCCCTACAAATACTTATTAGCCGCCCCTAAAAACCATATCTGATGTAGTGCGCTGTAATGCAATGCAACCAAAGAGATAAACACACGAATGGACGATAGGGTGTGACGAATGTGTGAGAGCTATATAACTTGACTTGTCTCTTTTCGGCTCTTGCATTGTCACCTGGGCGCTTTGGACTCCTAGAGAACTTGGGTTTGTTCAAAATTCCATCCTTTTTACAGATACGGCAATTGTTGCTCAAGGCATAAATCGACTCTCTGAAATCAAAGGGCGGCTATCTAGGCTATCTGGATGGATGACCAATTGTCAGTCTCACTGAAATGAAGAGTCAAGAGAAGGATGAAGACTTGATTTGCTTCTAAATTCTGATGGAGCTTCGTTTACTGTTTTTGGTGGTGCTGTACGTACGAGTTTGCTTTTTGGGGGCCCAGCCCACAGCGTCTGTCTAGTGTTTCTGCTTACCTCTGTTTTGAACTGTTTCTGTTTTTGGAGTCTGTAAGCCATTATATGCTTAGTGCCTTCTATAAAAGCAGGGAAAGACCTTTCACTAAAGAAGAAGATAACGACTGTGGGTTTTGCTAGGATCATAATGTTAACATCTATGCGGATGATTTCGAAGATAAAGAGACCAGAGATCGGAAAGAAGGTAGTAATAATTGTCTGCTGAATTATGTCAGGATCATGTAAGTTTACTGCCTCTTCTCTACACAAGGTGCTTTCCAGTCCCGGCTGCAATCGGCAAAAACACATTACATGGGCAGGCAAGCAAATGTCTTCCACAATGTAACGAAGGCCGTTATTTTTAATTACATAGTACAACATAGACGTTCACAAAGCACATACACTTACCCTATGAACACACAGAGCACCTTTGAAGACTGGACCGACAAATCCTCGAGACGAGATTGACGAAGTCACCACAAACGTTTCGCTGTCGATGGAAATCCTAAAATATTGGCTACAGACCCTTTGGCTAATGAAGGCCAATTAGCCTACTCAGCAACAACGTATAGATCCATGTTCAAAACCAGGAACCAAACAATGAATACGAGCATTCTTAGTCTTATTTGCATTGGAACTATCTTATCTTACTTTTATTAATCAGAGGCTTCAATAGAGGCACCACGTTAATTCTAACTAGACACGGTAGGAAAAAGATAAATTCTAAAAATTCTCACAATAATCACAAAACATCTAGCCTTTAATTTGATAGACTCTAATCATCATTGCTAATAATAGCCATTAGCGCTATTATAATTTATAAAAAATTAACTTCTTAATCTTACATCTAAATTACCCACGTATGTCATTATGAAAAATAGTGTAAAATAATCTCCTAAATTTGTATATAAATTTCCAAACTCTTCTATTATGAAAATTAATTCAAACCAACCCCCTAAATTTGCATCTAAACTATCAACATTTGAGATTATTAAAGATAATTCACAATAAACTCCTAACATTTCATCTGAATTACCCACATTTTTCATTATGAAGATAACTAAAAAATAACTCTCTAAACTTGTATCAAAATTATCCACCCCTGCCATTATGAAAGATAATATAAAATAATGCCTAATAGTTTTATAAATTACCCATCTCTGTCATTATGAAAGATAATGCAAAGTACCCCTAAGTTTGCATTCAATCTAACCATATATGCTATTATGAAAGAAAACATAAACTAATACCTTTATATTTGTTTCTACCTCAGCTGCTATAAATAAATAAATAAAATATCTCTAAGAAATACTAATATATCTTTTTACGAAAAATAATTTCACATCCATAAATTACGTATATATATTTTAAAAAATGACACATTCTATAGCCATGAAGTTAAAAGTAAGCATAATACTGTGTTCCATCGTATCGGCCAAGTTAACATGTATACCTAGGATAAATATTATTTTAATAGCTTATGAAACATGAAAACATATCACGCAACAAACCGCATACCACATAGATCATCCAATGGCTAGGAAAGATCAGACCACACCGTGTCGGTCCATTAACCGTCTTTGTGCTGTCATGTCGTGCTCGCAAACAACATGGGATGAACCTACGGCCACTAGTAGAAAAACGACCTTTCGTCGATGACCAAGAAATATTTAGTCCTATTTAAAATTATAAACCGAGACTAAAGGAGGTCTGAGGCCTATAGTCTCGATTTGTAATACAAACCGGGACTAATTCCACCCTTTAGTCCCTGGTTGTACTTGCGGTTACCAAAATGTATCAAAGTCGAGAGGCTTTAATCCCGTTTTGAGACACGAACTTGGACTAAAAAGTAGTTTAATACATGAATCTAGAATAAAAGTGCCTCTAGACTATCTCACAATTAAAAAGAGTAAAAGATGAACACCCTTGGCGCGACAATCATCGCCTCACCTCGTCGGTCTACCCTGCGATCCTCAACCGCTTTCATCGCTCGGTAGAAAAGGAAACCACCATCCCAGCCATCTCCGCCCGCTTTCACCGCGCTTTAGAAAAGGAAACCGCCATCCGCGTCGCTCTCCTGCGATTTGTTCGCAGACAGTTTCTCTCCACGCGCGTCATCCTCATCCACCTCCCCAGTCATCACCGTCGCGGGCAGTCCTCGCCGTCATCGCCCTGGCGCCCAGCGATTGCGTCTCCGGCACGCTCACCCGGCCACCTGCCCGCGCGCCTGATACTGCGCCGCCGTGCACGCGCCGCAGCCGCTGCGTCCACAGCGGCCGCGCCCACGCGCCGGCGAAGGCCGCGTCGCCGGGATCCACGACGACCGCGCCGCCGCCCTCACCGGGATCCATCTTCCCTCCGTCCTCGCTCTGCCCTCGCGCTCGTCGGGTCCGCGCTGTCGCCCGCGCCATTGTCCTCGCCGCGAGAAATTGGGCCGGGGCGCCAGCGACGAACCCTAACCCTATCTCCTCGGTGCAAGGAGCGCACCACGCCGTCGTCCTCGCCGCGGGTGATTGGGCAGAGGCGCCTATCCGCGCCGCCACACGTCGCCGACCCCGCCGTGCCCGTGATGCTGCTCCGCCGTCGCAAGGCCATCCCCGACCTGTGCCGGTGCCTCACCCATCCCCGATCCGCGCCTGACATTCCCTGCTCCTAGGACGGAGCACTGAGAAGAAGGAGGTGCCGCTGCCGCACGCCAGGTGCTCAGGTCTTCGTCGGACCCTTCGTCGGCGACGAGCACCCAACAGGTATGCTCACCCTTCTTACTGTATGCTGTGCGAGACCGAGCACCCGAACCCTGTCGTCATTTATATTCAGATCTGATCTAATTGCAAATGTATACATGTATCCCTTTCAAAGATATCAGAGGTACATGTGCACGCTCAATGTCCTTTACTGGATCTGCACCTGTGATTCTGTGTGCTTTGAGTTAGTGGACTTGAATATGGTCGAAAGAGCGTGCCTGTGCAAAATAATTTGTTGTGACTGAAGGAGAAATGGAAAACTGAGAAAAATGGCTAGAGAAAATGTGCAAGTCGATGTTGCTTTTATAATTGTAATAACCTTATGTTATTCTGATATATTAAATATCCTAAAATTCCATTGTTCTTATCCTTTTATTCTTATTTATTTATAGGTGCCCACTTTTAACTAGATTGCGCTGCAATGGCTATGCATATTTTAAACATAAATTCTCATTGTAATAGGGCAGCGTCAGGATAGCAATATGTGCAAAGGGACAGTGAGGAGTGAGGAGCCACCTACTGTTACATGAAATATATTGGGGTTTCTGGTTGAAATATTAGAAATACACTAGAACTGAAAATGCTCGGATTTGTTTGAGTTTATATACAAATGGTTATTAGGAATACTGTTTCAAACTTAATCTTGCTGAACTATGTTTGTAGATTTTTTTTGGGTAGAATTCTACAATGCATTGGGTGGAAGTTTCTTTTCTTCAGAATGAAAGGGATTTATTGCGTCCCAGAATTAGCTTCATTAAACTCCTTGGAGAGGAAGCATCATATATGTCAGATAGGTTGCAGCCAAACAACATGGATTGGTTACAAAGCTGAATACACAACAATGAAAGGCCACACCTAATTTTGGGCAGGTTCAACTTGTTTCTAAATTAAAATCGGCAGATGCCCCTAGGAAGCACTTGAACAAATTGACAACTTCATAAAAAAACCCGCACCTTGGGCATCGCACATTCTGACATTCCCTTGGTTGATGCGGCTCATTTGTCTCACCTGATGGACTGAGATGCTTCTATTTCCATTGGTCAAGTTAGTTTGCTTGGAACGGCCCAGCGATCAACACAAGAATCTAGGTTGATTAAATTATAACCCATCCATGTTTTGTCTCTGATGTTTTTAGTCATCCATCTGTGTTCTTATTCAGTCTGAATATATATTGATCTCTCATCCATCTGTGTCTATTTCAATGATAGAGAAGAGATTTATTTTATTCCATGATCCGTTCTATTGCGTGCATCTGATTTTTTTTATGTTTTTCATATTATGTGGTCGGATGCAGTCATGGCAGTAAAAAAAATAAATTTTATCTATGTGTCATCTGTATTGGTAAATTCTTGCAATGCTGGTTTTGTTGGAATTATTCGTGAAGATCAGGTATGAATTTCTCAGGTCTCTATGTTTGCAAATGATGAATGGAGCTTCCCGAAGAATTTACTTAAATGCGCATTGTTCAGTCACTAGAAATTTAGCTTTGACATGCATGTGGTTCAGTCCCTAACAAATTAGATTATTTTTTAGGCTCAGTTTGTCCATGTATCTGAATTGTTCGGTCATTGAAAATTTAGCTTTGACATGCATGTATTCAGGTTTGTATCGAATTTTTTGGGCCATATAGATTTCTTTTTCAGTGAGCTTTTTTCTAAATAGCAAGGTTCTGCTCTGACTTCTCTGCTGGTGCTGACTGCTGTAGCTTTCATTGTCCATCGTGTGGCTACCGCACTGCTGCAGACCGCCCTAGCAACAATCCAGGTTTTCCTCCCTGCCGTTCAGCATCCAGCATGCCTTATTGTTCATGATCCGGCACACCCATAATCTGTTATCTTAGTTGTAAACTTATTTGTTCAAATATGCTCTGCAATATTCCGTTATCTAATGACTGAGCACACCAGGAAACAATTTGTCAACTATAATTTTGCTGGATCTTTCTGAACTTCCATGCATCATGACTGAAACTGCCAATTGACATTGTTGAAATTAAACTGAGCACCAATCTTTCAGTCTACTCTTGTCAGTCAGCATTTATGGTAGTTTTTTTAACCAAAGCTGAATTTTGGCCTCTCGGTCATAAAAAAACTATTTTCAATTTCCATTACCTGTTTGTCTGTACAGAAAAAACAATTTTAGTTCTTATTTAATGTGATGGTGAATATTCATTCAGAAGTATATCTATTTTAAAGGATGCTCACATGTCACTTCCAATTTGTTGTACTAAATTTTGCCTCTGTAATATGCAGGTGCGGCGCTTCCTCCTCTAGATCCAAGCACTAGAGCTCTTCCTCTGTGCTGCCCTCCTTCATCCTCGCTTGGCCGTGTGCTGGCCTCCCCAGCTCCTCACGACGGACACCGGGCACCCCAACTCCTCACGGGATGTCGTGCCTCGTGCATATGGCACGATGATGATGGAGCGGAAGCAGAGGACAGCGAGAGCGGAAGCAGAGGATGGTGGTCGTGCACACCTGTTGGTGGGTGTGTCCCTGCATCCCTCGCACAATCAAATCGCCACCTGCCATCAAGTCACCACCTGCCTTGGTAGGTGATTTCAAACTGTTTCAAACTGCTTCTGTCATCTAAAAGGTCTTTGCCTGCTTTTGTTTTGAAATTACTTCTATATTAACAGATCTTTGCCATGTCTCTGTCATGTCATAGATTTATCAAAGGTTTGGTTTAGCTCTCACATGCACATATCAATTATGCGACAGATTATAGTGCTAGCTTGACATGTATGCAGGCAAAATTAAGATCCTTCTTTTATGTTCCATTTTCAAGGAGATACTAATTTAGAGCAAGGGTCAGTGGATGGATCAGATCTGAATAAATTATTGCTGAGTTGGCCCTAAGATAGTTATGGTTTTTCTTTTTGCCTGAAGTGACAAAATAGTTTACTTTCTCAGGTGATGCTTGGTCTATTAGTCTTCCATGGCACAAGTGGATCATCCTGCAGAGTAAGATGAGGTCTGATATGCAGAAGCCAACTTCATACAAATTGAGACTATTTGTATCCAGCTCTTTCATTAGTTCTTCATTTCTATGTGATATCACTACCACTGTTTTGCCAGATGATGACACTGCTACTGATGCTTTCTGATCAAATTGGGGTTTGACTGTCATTTTTGGAGCTCCTTTTACTTTTTATTTCATTGGCTTGATTTGTATTCTAACCAACTTCGTGAACTATGATGATTTGATGTTATTGGAAACAGATTTTTTTGACGGTCTTGGAGCAATCTGCTTGGTCTTTGCATGAATAGGGATAGTATACAAGGTCTTTTTAGCTGTAAATGCTCTATGATCAAGAATATAAGCTGCACTAGATTAGAATGTCAATATGTGGTTCTCTAGAACTTCTCGGGGAATAAAATCCCAAGCCACTTTTCTTCTATTTATTTAGCTTCTCTACAACTTCTTGTGTAATCTAAAGTTGGAATTGATTGTAGCTCATATACTGGCAGGAACAACAGAATAATGATCATTTGTGCTTAGCCTCACCATCTCAAAGGCCCTCATTTGATTTTGTCCCAGCCTGTGTGGTTGACTCCGCTCACCCACTGTCACCATGGGATTTTGGCATGTCCACTATGTGAACCCAAGAGTGTCTTTGTGTTATTGTATATTTTGTGTGCATTCAAGTATTTGCTTCTCGATGCCTCCCAGTTTATTGGTTGAATTCTTGAGGGCGAGATCACGAATGCTAGAAATTCTTGAGTAAGTAAATACATTGATGTAGCCACAATTGACTACGAAACTGATTGCACGCTATGACAGGGGAGGAGCAGATTTGTGTGCTGAAGGACATTGGACCAAGAAACTGATCTCGTGCATAGATTATTTACTTGATCATGATCTCTGACCACTCTAATGAAGATGTGCACAGTGGCATAATAATTGATTGAAATCATGGTTATTTGATCCCATGTTTGGGCTAAGTTATACATTTCAACTTTTTCCTATCTGTTTGAAGACAAGGACCCTCGCAACAGAGGCATGCCACACTGTTAGAGAATAATAATGTGTTAGGTGATAATTTTCTATTTAGATAGTGTCGATGGTGTGTTTTGTTTTTCTAATTTTGATTTCTTGTAGATTGGCAAGACTACCAGGAAGGAGTGAAACAACACGAGTACATGATAGAAGCTCGGAGAAAATTGAAGTAGTACCACAAACAAATGGAATGATACAAATAGAAGAAGATTGATGTGTATTTTTGTTTGTGCATCTAAGATTTTTTTTGCTCCAAACTAGATGTACATGTGAACTGAAAACCCATGTAATATTAATGATTGCCTACAAATGAAATGATGCAAATATCACACTCATTATTGATTTTTCTTCGATGTAACACACTTTCAAACTCAAAATATAAGACATTATTCGTGGATTTATTGGTGCACGAAAGAAAAGGATATCGGAGATTTCTTCTTGCCGATATAAAATATCTTAGCCGCATCACGGAAAGATCTGCGTTCTCCGTGACTATGTTAATTTCATGAACTTTACTTTTTGAATTAAATATCACTTTAACATCGGTATTTAATTTCACAGTATTGTTATCTTATCGTGCGATCCGTGTATTTTTATTACAAAAGTTTAGTTGTCCCGTAGCAATGCATGGGCACGGACCCAGTGAATGTAAAAGGCAAACATATCTTATCTGT